AACTCCATTATAATACACCACTCCAGGAATTTTATTTCAAACTTTACATGCCTTGTAGGGTAACTGTAACCTATGGGATGCAATCCTAGAGCATAAAATATAACGTGAATATGTGATCTAACGATTACAAATCAGGAAACAAAATAACATAGATCAGCATGGGAGGAAAGTTAAAGAAATAAAACAACACAAGATATTGGTAATATAATTTATCTCCTTTAGATAACATCTCACTTAGATAACAAAAGAAAATAATTTCCTAACGTTCCAGTTTTATATAATCTCTCAATGAGTTCAAAAGTCTGATTCCTTCTATACAAGAGCAGCACACTGGGAAGACACAGAATTCATTGCTGGACACAGAAATGGTAGCCATTTTTCTGTTTCAATTTTAAGTAAACACTTAATATTAAAAATATTGACCAAAAAAATAAGCTACAATTAATATAAAATATAAATATCCATTCCATTTTTTGGTAAAAAAAATCACATTTAAAAAATCCAGCTGAAAAAATAATTGGCCCTGGCTGGGTAGCTAAAATGATTAAAGCATCTTTCCTTAAACCAAGGTTGCGGGTTCAATCCCAAGTCAGGGCACATGTCCAGATTTTGGTCTCAATCCCCACTATGGGGCATGCAGGAGGCAGCCAATTGACTTTTCTCTCTCCCTCTCCCTTTCTCTCTCTAAAATCAATAAAAACGGAACTTCCGGTCAAGATGGCAGCGTAGGTAAACGCGGAGGGGCTGGTCCCACACCCACATGTCGAAGATAAAAATCAGGAGGATACCTTGGTTGGGAAGGTCCTCCCTGAGGACTGAGGGGTCCCTGTCCTAAACCAGATGGCCTGCTCAGGGTTCCAAAGCCAGGAAGAGAAGTCCCCATAATTTCTGGCTGGAAAAACCAGCGGGAACTGAGGCTCAGGGAAGCTGACGCGGCTGGAGTCCCAGGCAGCTCCTTAAAGGGCCCACGTAGAGACTTATCGGACTCTCTCCCTCTGAGCTTGGAGGGGAGGCAGCTCGAGGGGCGCCAGAGACATACAGGGAAGAACTGAGCTGTTTGATATTGGAGCAAGGGCTGGAGAGGGGGCTTTCTCTGGGACAAATGTGCTGTCAGAGGCCTTTGTTCCTTTGGTGAGCCCTTCCCTGGGGCGGCAGACAGCCGACATATCTGGGACTCCAGCAACCTGGCTCAAACTGGTTGCCCCACCCTGGTGACTCCCTAAGGTCCCACCCCACCCAACTTTCAGGTCCACCTAAGCTGTTGGCACTTGCTTAACCATAGGATTGGCCTGTCTTGGATCCTGCTTCAGGTTTTTCCTAAATTCTTTCAAACAAGCAGCATCTGGTCTCAGCCCCACACCGATCCTTAAGTAATACACAGAAACAAACACAGAGAGGCAGCCAAAATGAAGAGACAAAGAAACAGGTCCCAAATGAAAGAACAGAACAAAACCCCAAGAAAAGAACTAAGCGAAATGGAGATAAGCAACCTAACAGATGCTGAGTTCAAAATACTGCTTATAAGGATGCTCAATGAACTTAGTGAGAAACTCAGCGAACTTAGTGAGGGCCTCAAGAACATAAAAAAAAAGCAGTCAGAAATGAAGGATGCACAGTCAGAAATGAAGGAGGAACTAACTGAAATAAAGAATAATTTACACAGATTCAAAAAGCCAAGAAGCAAACCATTGATTTGGAATCTAAGGAAGCAAAAAACACCCAATCAGAACAGCAAAAAGAAAAAAGAATCCAAAAAATGAGAATAGTGTAAGGAGCCTCTGGGACAACTTCAAGCGTGCCAACATTTGCATCTTGGGGGTGCCAGAAGGAGAAGAGGGAGAACAAGAAATTGAAAACCTGTTTGAAACAATAATGGCAGAAAACCTCCCTAACTTGGTGAAGGAAACAGACATACAAGTCCGGGAAGCACAGAGAGTCCCGAACAAGATGAACCCCAAGAGGCCCACTCCAAGACACAACATCAAAATGCAAAAGGTTCAAGACAAAGAGAGAATCTTAAAAGCAGCAAGAGAAAAGCAGTTAGTTACCTACAAGGGAATTCCCATAAGGCTGTCAGCTGATTTCTCAAAAGAAACTTTGCAGGCCAGAAGGGAGTGACAAGAAATATTCAGAGTGATGAAAAGCAAGAACCTACAACCAAGATTACTCTATCCTGCAAAGCTGTCATTTAGAATCAATGGCCATATAAAGAGTTTCCCAGACAAGAAAAAGTTAAAGGAGTTCATCACCACCAAACTGTTATTATATGAAATGATGAAGGATCTTTTTGAAGAAAAAGATAAAATATATGAACAAACAAAATGGCAATGAATACATATCTATCGACAATGGAATCTACAAACAAAATGAACAGGCAGAACAGAAACATTCTCATAGATACAGAGAACATTTTGTTGGTTGCCAGATGGGAGGGGGGTTGGGGGAATGGGTGAAATAGGTGAAAGGATTAAGAAGTACAAATTGGTTGCTAGACTGACAAACCTCAAAGGGAAGGGGGTTGGAGGTGGGAAAAAATAAACCAAAAAACTTACATGCATAACCAATGGACACAGACGACAATGTGGGAAAAGGCAAGAGAGGAGCAGGGGTGGGAAGGAGGGGGGTCAATGCGAGAAAAATGAGGAACATCTATAATACATTCAACAATAAAGATAAATATAAAAAAGAAAAAAAAAGAAAATCAATAAAAACATTATTTTAAAACATAAATTACAGCCCTGGCCGGTTTGGCTCAGCGGTTAGAGCGTCGGCCTGCGGTCCTGAGAGACCCGGGTTCGGTTCCTGCTAAGGGCGCGTACCTCGGTTGCAGTTTGTCCCTGGCCCTGGTCGGTTGTGCGGGTGGCAGCCACTCGATGTGTTCCTTTCACATCGATGTTTCTCTCTCTCTCTGTTCCTCTCTCTCCCTCCCACTCTACCTGAACAAAGAATGGAAAAATGTCCTCGGGTGAGGATAAAAAAAATAAAAATAAAATAAATAAAATAAATTACAGCCCTGGCTGGTTTTGCTCAGTGGTTAGAGCGTCGGCCTGCGGACTGGAGAGTCCTGGGTTCAGTTCCCGCTAAGGGCATGTACCTCGGTTGCAGTTTGTCACTGGGCCTAGTTGGGGTCATGTGGGTGGCAGCCACTCGATGCGTGTCTCTCACGTCGATGTTTCTCTCTCTTCCTCCCTCTCTCCCTCCCGTTCTGTCTGAAGATAAATGCAAAAATGTTCTCCAGTGAGGATAAAAAAAAATGAATTAAGTAAGTAAATAAATAAAGAAATAACAGCTTGGCCCATGTTACTCAGTGGTTAAGTGTCTACCCATGCAGCAAGAGGTCACCGGTTCAATTGGTGATCAGAGAACATGCCCAGGTTGTGGGCCCAATCCCCAGTGGGGGCCACGCAGGAGGTGGCCAATTGATGTTCTCTCTCAACGATGTTTCTATCTCTCTTTCTCCTTTCTTCTCTCTCTAAAAATCAATAAAGAAAAAATAAATAAATTACAGTCCTGTTTGGTTGGTTCAGTGGTTAGAGCATCAGCCTGCATACCAAAGGGTCAAGGGTTCAATTCCCAGTCAAGGGCACATACGTGGGTTGTGGGTTTGCTCCCTGGCCTCAGTGAGGCATGGGCAGGAGGCAACCAATCAGTGTGTGTCTCTCACATAGCTGTCTCTCTCTCTCTCTCTCTCTCTCTAGTTCTCCTTCCCTCCCTCCTTTCAACTCTATCTCAATGGAAAAAATGTTCTCAGGTGAGGACTTAAAAAAAAGAAAATTACAACAGTCAACACTATAATGGCTGTCCAGTGTGAATGGAATACATTTAAATTATACCCTTTTTTTTATTGTCAGATCTGCAGTGTGCCACAGATTTTAGTAATTAGTTTATGTATGCCATGAGATGAAAAAGGTTGAAAATCACTCTTAGAGGAAAAAAATTTACTCTAATCTCACCACTGAATATTAACTAGTAATGTTAATGTTTGCCCTTCTAGCCTTTTATCTAAGCATGGTTTTTTTTGTTTTTTATCCTCACCTGAGGACATTTTTCCATTTTTTGTTCAGGTAGAGTGGGAGGGAGAGAGAGGAACAGAGAGAGAGAGAGAAACATTGATGTGAAAGGAACACATCGAGTAGCTGCCACCCGCACAACCGACCAGGGCCGGGGACAAACTGCAACCGAGGTATGTGCCCTTGGCAGTAACCAAACCCGGGTCTCTCTGGACCGCAGGCCGATACTCTAACCGCTGAGCCAAAATGACCAGGGCTAAGCATGTTTATTTCTATAAAATGCAATATGATTCTACTATTTTGTAATATTTCTACATTTCACTGTAGAAATGTTGCATTATGAATACTGTTCCTAGTCAATTAATATTATAATTTTTTATAATTGCAAAATAGTCTATAATATGGACTTATTTATTTATTTAAATAATACTTATTTAACTAAGCCAATTCCCTAAAGTATTGGCCTGGCTAGTGTGGCCAGTGTGGTTGAGCATCAACCGATGCACCAAGAGGTCGCCAGTTCAATACCAGGTCAGGGCACATGCCTAGGTTGTAGGCCCAATCCCCAGTTGGGGGCATGCAGGAGGCGGCCAATTGATGTTCTCTCTCATTGATGTTTCTCTCTCTCTCCCTCTCCCTTTCTCGCTCTCAAAAAGGCAATAAAAATAAATAAATAAATAAATAAGCATTGAAAAAAAAACAGGCTGAGCTGTTAATGTGTGTCTGTCAAGGATGTGACATGTTAATTCCAATAAACAAATAGTACCTACTTCAATAACTCAAAGATTTTGGGTTAGAGAATATCCGTACCCTAAAATAATTATAACTGCTATTGCAAATGAAAAGACTAAAATGGAAAAGAGATAAACCCCTTGCAAAGTCTGCTCTCAAACTTGAACTCCTCTTTCCACTATAATTCACAAACGGAAACCAAGCCTGCAGATGGATAATGTTTTCAATCATTTTTTTCTTTAGTATCTATTAACCCACCTAAATGTTTATAATGGTGATTGTGAGCTTGTAATAAAACCTTTACTCGATCCAAAGGAGCAACTGTTGTTTTAGCACAGCATCCAGCAATACCTAAAAAAAAAATTTAAGAGATTAGGGAGAAACTGTATACCATTTCTTTCCAGATGGAAATTATTATTTGTTCAGCCAAAACACACCCTCTGATCTTTCACTTGGTCTCCATGGGTAGAACTGCCCAGTAGAAGTGATGTGTAGATGATTAGCCCCCATTCTCTATAGCTTACTAATTAATCATGTTGTATTTAAAAGTAAATTTGAAAAAATAAAATAAAAATAAAAAAAGAATAAAAGTAAATTTGAAGAGTGTAAATCTGTCTCCTAATAATTGATGAACACTGGGAACCTTGCTAAATGTGGTTACAGAGACACTTGAAGGTATTTACTCAACTCTAAGGCTCTATTTGTTTTTTGTTTTTTTTATCCTCACCCGAGGATACTTTTCCATTTTTTGTACAGATAGAGTGGGAGGGAGAGAGAGAGAGAAACATCGACGTGAAGGGACACATCGAGGGGCTGCCACCCGCACGACCAACCAGGGCCGGGGACAAAGTGCAACCGAGGTACATGCCCTTAGCGGGAACCGAACCCGGGTCTCTCCGGACCGCAGACCGACGCTCTAACCGCTGAGCCAAACTGGCCAGGGCTAAGGCTCTATTTGAAGTAACCTCCTCTTCTTTTGTATAACTTTTGCATGGAAACAACCAACTTTTACCCATAAAATTCAATCATTCTTTCATACATTCAGCAATTATGTATTTGGTTCCCACCATATGCCACTGTGCAGACATGTAGATGATAGTAAAGATACAGGACAGCCCTACTAGCTTGGCATGCTTCTAAGACGATAATGTATAAAGACTTTTTTGCTATGTTGTTTATGACCTTACACACCAGCAATTCATATGTTGAAAACTAATTCCCAATGTGATAGCATTTAGAGGTGGGACTCTGAGGAGGTGATTAGGTCCTGAGGGCTTTGCATGTTTATTTTTATAAAACGAGATGTTATTCAACTATTACAAGAGCACTGACCATGGGATTAGACACCCCTGGCCCCTTCCTCCTTGTGAAAACATGGCAAAAAGGTTCTATCTAGTCTTCATCAGAAGGTGAATCAGCTGGTCCATAATCCTGGCTTTTCCAGCTGCTAGAACTATGAAAAATAAATGTTTGTTGTTTATAATCCACCCAGATTATGGTATTTTTGTTAAAGCAGTCCAAATGAACTAACATGTACAAATGGTCTTTGATTTACGATGGGGTTACATCCTGATAAACCCACTGTAAAATGAAAATATCACCAGTAGAAAATGCATTTAAATTAAGGGTGAATTTTACTGCATATAAATTATACCTTAATAAACCTGACTTTAAAACAAAAAACTAGCCCGGCCTGTGTGGCTCAGTGGTTGAGTATCGACCCATGCACCAAGAGGCCACCAGTTCCATTCCCAGTCAGAGCCCATGCCAGGGATGTGGGCCCAATCCCCAGTGGGGTGCATGCAAGAGGCGCCAATCGATGTTCTCTCTCATCAATACTTCTATTTCTCTCTCTCCCTTCTTCTCTCTCTAAAAACCAATAAATAAAAAATAAATAAATAATAAATTACAGTCCTGGCTGGACTCTCTCAAATCAATAAAGGGAAAAAAAAATTTAAAAGAAAAAAAATAAAAGATTGTTAAAAAATAATAATAAAATAAAAAATACACAGCTTAATCAAAATTCTTTTGCAGAGTTTCTGATACTTGCTGCCTCCAATTCTTTTCCTATTTTTAATAGATTTTAAGTGGTAACTAAGTATAAGACACACAGAAAAAGTGCACAAATCATGTGTGCCACTTAATGGTGACTTCAATCACATAAGGACCACCCAAATCAAGAAATGAAACTTTACCAGCCTCCCCTAGAAGTCCTTTCCGTACTCCCACAATCACTATTTGTACCTCCTTCTCTGAGATAACCAATGAGCCTCCTGACTTCTAACAATATGCACTTAGTCTTTATTGTTTTTGAACTTTATACAAATAAAATCACACAATATGGCTTGCTTTGTGTCTGGCCTCTTCTGTTCAATATTATGCTTGTGAGATTTGTGCACATTGTTGCATGTGGCAGAAATTTACTCACTTTCAGTGCTACAGAATAATTAACTGTATGACTGTACCATATTTTGGTAATATGTTATAACATTGATGGACATTTGGATTGCTTCTGGTTTGGGGCTACCATGAATGTTGTAGACATAAACAGAAATATATATGTTGGAATATACCTAGGAGTGGAACTGCTAGATCATATGGCATACAAATGTTCAGCTTCATAGATAACCAGCTAGTTCCCCAAAGTGGTTGTACCAATTTACATTACTACCAGTAGCATATTAGAGTGCTAGTTGTGCCCAGCCAGTGTGCCTCAGTGGTTGGGAGTCGACCCATGCTTCAGGAGGTTGCAGGTTTGGTTCCAGGTCAGGGCACATGCCCAGGTTGTGGGCCCGATCCCCAGTAGGGGTCATGCAGGAGGCGGCCAATCAATGTCTCTCTCATAGATGTCTCTCTCTCTCTCTCTCTCTCTCTCTCTCTCTCTCTCTCTCTCCCCCTTTCCCTTCCTATCTCTCTAAAATCAATAAAGAGCACTGGGCGGTTTCGCTCAGTGGTTAGAGGTTCGGCCTGCAGTCCAGAGAAACCCGGGTTCAGTTCCCACTAAGGGCATGTACCTTGGTTGCAGTTTGTCCCTGGCCCCAGTTGGGTCAGGGCCGTGCGGGAGGAGGCAGCTACTCGATGTGTCCCTTTCACGTCGATGTTTCTCTCTCTCTTTCTCTCTCTCCCTCCCACTCTATCTGAACAAAAAATGGGAAAATGTCCTCAGGTGAGGATAAAAAAAAAATCAATAAAGAAAAAAAAAATAAAGAGTCCTGGTTGTTATCCTCACCCACATGTACCATGACTCTCTCTATTTCAATGTCTAATCAACATCACAAAATGAAGTATTTCCAAAACGGAACTCATCTCCCCACCAAAACCACCATAAAACTTGCTCCAACAAGTCTTCCCATTTCAGCCAATGAGCACCTCAACCTTTCAGCTGCTTAGACCAAAATAGGTCACTCTTGACCTCCCCTTTCTTATCCCATTTCTAATCTGTTAGAAAATCCTATTCATTCTATTTATATCCAGATTATCACAATTTTTCACCACCTCTCCTGTTACTAACCTGATCCAGATCACTATCATCTGAATTACTGCAATAACCTCCAAATTAATCTCCTTGCTTTGATATTTACCCTCCTACACCTATTCTCAACAGAGAAGCCAAAGTGATCCTTTTGAAATATCATGTCACTTCTCTGTCCAAGACCTGCAATGGCTAGCACGTTTCCAGTGGCTGTGGCTGGTTGTAGAAATGGGATCTCGAACTGCATTGGAGAGCAACCTAGAGAGACTTTGACAGCTCAGGTCAGCATTATACCTGCAGCTGCCACTCGCCTTTCCTTTGGTATTAAAAAAAAAAAAGGCCCGCCCTGGCCTGTTTGGCTCAGCAGTTAGAGCATGGGCCTGCGGTCCAGAGAGACCCTGGTTCGGTTCCCACTAAGGGCGCTTCCCACTAAGGGCACATACCTCGGTTGCAGTTTGTCCTCGGCCCTGGTTGGTCGTGTGGATGGCAGTCACTCAGTGTGTCCCTTTCATGTCAATGTTTCTCTCTCTCTCTTCCTCTCTCTCCCTCCCACTCTATTTGAACAAAAAAATGGAGAAATGTGCTCGGGTGAAGATTAAGAAAAAAAAAAAAAGGCCTAGAAAGGCCCTCAACTTCATTACAAGAAAAAGTCAGAATCTTTACAATAGTATGCAAGGCCCTTCAATTTTTGCCCCAATGGGTTCCAGCCACAAAGATCTCACTGCTGTTCCTTGAACAGACCAGGCCCTCTCCTACTTTGACGCCTTTGCTTCAGCTTTTCTCTCTGAAATACTGCTACTTAGCCATCAACTTGCTAAATGCCTCCACTTCTTCAAGTCTGCTCTCATCCTCTCAATGAGACTTATCACAACTATCTTATTTAATATGCACCCATTTTGCCTCTGGTCTTCCTTGCTCTATTCTTATTACTTCTTCCCACTGCAATCATCACCTTCTAACATAATATATACTTACTTTCTCTTTAAAATGTTTTTATTGACTTTTTTTTTTTTAAATGGCACGTGCCCTTAGCGGGAACTGAACCCGGGACTCTCTGGTCCACAGGCCGACGCTCAACCGCTCAGCCATACTGGCCAGGGCTATAACTTACTTTTTCATTTTGTTCATTGCCTTTCTCCCCAACCAATGTAAACTCCAGGATTTTGTTTTGTTCTCTGAGGTACTCTGAGCATGTAGCAGGCACATAATAGGCACTCAAGTGTTCCATATATAAATAAATGAATGTCCGCCCTGGCTGGTTTAGCTCTGTAGTTACAGCATCTGTCCTCGGACTAAAGGGTCTCACGTTCGATTCCTGGTCAAGGGCACATATCTGGGTTGCGAGTTCCATCCCTGCCCTGTCCTGCAGAAGGCAACCGATAGATGTGTCTCTCTCACATTCTCTTCCTCCCTTTACTTTTTCCCACTCTCTATAAAAATCAACGGAAAAAAAAACCTCAGGTGAGAATTAACAAACAAACAAAAAAATGTCCATTCTATCAGCAGAATAATTTCTTAATACTACTGCAGCATACAGATATTATCTTTCTGTAAGTCCTCATAACATGAAAATTTAAAAATTCTTAGCCTTAATAAATAAGTGATGACAACCCACACAATCAATTAAGAGTAGTGACTGATACACCTCTTCATGGGAAAGCATAGGAAATTTCTGAGAGACAGTATAAACCTTCTGGCCCTACAGTCACACCAACAGTAGGGCTGCACCAGCTACCTTTCAAGTAGCTGTGGCAAAGTTTATCAGCATCACTGGAACCAGTTTTGATTTTAGACAATTTTGCATAATTTCCCAATCATGTTTTGAAAACTGTTTATTTCCTTTTAAGCGACCAACAAACTCCAATCCTACACTCAGTCACCTATGGTCTTTATAAAAGACAGGAGTGCCATGGACGGTTTCGCTCAGCGGTTAGAGCATTGGCCCGTGGTCCAGAGAGATCCGGGTTCGGTTCCCGCTAAGGGTATGTACCTCGATTGCAGTTTGTCCCCGCCCCTGGCTGGGTCGTGCAGGTGGCAACCACTCCATCTGTCCCTTTCACGTCGATGTTTCTCTCTCTCTCTCTATCCCACTCTATCTGAACAAAATATGGAAAAAAATAAAAGGCAGGAGTGCCGATCATGTTTCAATGAGACCCTGGGGTCTTTGTAAGAAATTCCTCTCCTCCCCTGCCATCCAACCCTGAAGAATGGGTGCCTGGTTCAGCACTTCCACCTCCCCAGAAGCTCCAGGACAGCTCCAGGGCCTTCCTCCTCTGGATCCTGCTGTCACTAGTCTAGTGATAATTAGAAAACGGTTACAGCAGGTCAGGGCAAACATCTGGCAGGACATTAAAGCATCCACTGTCCAAGAATGTCATCGCGGCTGCATGCATCCGACCTGCCCCTGCCACCCGGAGCGTGGCCCGGTGCTCTCGGCAAACACCCACCTCCGGCCAGGAAGGAGCGCAGCCAGTAGAAGTCTCGGCGGGCGGTGGACCCTCCGGCTCCTGCCGCCTGCGGCATCGTGGGAGGGGGCTCAGCCGCTGCCAGGGCCGCCGCCGCCGCCATCAGGGCCAGGGCCGCGACAGGAGCTTTGGCCACCAATTCACAATGCAAGGGCTGGGGCCATGGCCATTGCCAGCACACACAGGGCACCGACCGCCGGGCGGGCGGGGCGGCGTCACACCCGGCGGCGCGGCGCGGCGCGGCGCGGGCTAATGGCGTAGTCAGGGGCGGGGCCTGGGCCACGGCCGGAAGTGGGGGTCGCCTTCCCTACGCAGCCTTTCCCCACGTCTCTGCTTCCGGCTTCGCTGTTCTGGTCTCTTCTGTTCAGAGGCAAGAAGAAAAGCATGGCCAGAGAGACGGCCCCTGGAAAACCTGCTGACTCAGAAAGCTCTCCTTTGACCTGTATTGACCATGGATCTGTCACCGCACCACAGTCTGTCTTCTGACTTCCCTAACTTGAACCAACCTTTGGTTCTTGACTCTTTCCAGGAACCTCTGAAATTGCACCATCTCCCGCCAAATCAGCCCTGCCTTTCCAGAGCTTTTCACTGAACCCCAATTTCTGCCTTGTCTAGCCCTCTACTAAGCTTTCACCCCACCCCTACCAGTTCTAACAAAGAAACATTGCTAAAGCAGATTGTTCTTTCTTTAGAGCTCTACAAATTACACCAATACTACTACCTTGTCAAGCCTTTCTGAACCTGTGCCTTCTGCTTAGCTCTCAAATTCCATCGAGCTCTACTCTCTACCAATCCCAAGTCTCGGCCCTAAACTCCCAGTTTCTTCTCCTGGCCCACTGTAATCCAAGATGCTGTTTCTTAACCACTTCTTTGGGCGCTTTTCTCTTACCGTGAGCTGGGGGTCAGTTCCAGCCTGGTCAAAATTCATTTCTCGTCTTTGTGACCAAAGTCGTTCTGAACTTTTATCGTCTCAGCAGTTACTAATATTTTTTGCAACACGTACTCCGACCTTCCTAATTACTGGGCAGTGATCTCTTTCCCTTTCTATGCATATGCCTCTGCAAGGTGTTTCTAGCCACATTTTGTCACTAATGATGAGTCCAGACTTCAAGTTTATTTATCCCCTTGCTCTCAATTTTTTATTTTTCTTTTTATCCTCACCGGAGGACATTTTTGCATTTATCTTCAGATAGAGCGGGAGGGAGGAGGGAGGAAGAGAGAGAGAGAAACATCCACCTGAGAGAGACACATCAAGTGGTTGACAACCACACGACCCCAACCAGTACTAGGGACAAACCGCAACCAAGGTGCGTGCCCTTAGTGGAAACTGAACCCAGGACTCTCTGGTCCGTGGGCCAATGCGCTAACCTCTGAGCAAAACCAGCCAGGGCCCATTTTTCATTTTCTACCACAAAATACAGGCCCACATTAATAATATCATTATTTGTATTTTACATGTCTGCCCTGCCCGGTTTGGCTCAGCGGTTAGAGCGTCAGCCTGAAGTCCAGAGAGACCTGGGTTCAGTTCCCACTAAGGGCATGTACTTCAGTTACAGTTTTTCCCCAGCCCTGGTTGGGTCGTGCGGGTGCAACCACTCAATGTGTCCCTTTCACGTTGATGATTCTCTCTCTCTCCCTCCCACTCTATCTGAACAAAACATGGAAAAATGTCCTCGGGTTAGGATTAAAAAAACAAAAAAAGTATTTTACATGTCTAATGTGAAGACTCAAAAGCTCCCCAAAGTAGAGGTGGTGCCCTAGCTCGTGTGGCACAATGGGTTGTGCTTCATACCATGCCCTGTAGGGGGCGTGCAGGAGGAAGCCTGTGGCTCTCATGTCAATGTTTCTTTCTCTCTCTCCCTCTTAAAAAAAAAAAAGTGAAGATGGCTGCACGGTATTGTGAATGTAATTAATGATACTGAACTGCACACTTAAAAATAGTTAAAATGGCCATAGCCTGTTTGGCTCAGCTGTTAGAGTGTTGGCCCGCGGTCCAGAGAGACCCGGGTTTGGTTCCCGCTACGGGCACATACATACCTTGGGTGCAGTTTGGCCCCGGCCCCGGTTGGAGTTGTGTGGGAGGCAGCCACTCGGTGTGTTCCTTTCAGGTAGATGTTTCTCTCTCTCTTTCTCACCTTCCCTCCCACTCTATCTGAACAAAAATGGAAAAATGTCCTCGAGTAAGGATAAAAAAAAAATAGTTAAAATGGTAATTTTTATATGAAGTATATTTTATCACAATAAAAAAATACAGAGAGCCCTGGCCGGTTTGGCTCAGCGGTTAGAGCGTCGGCCTGCGGTCCTGAGAGACTCGGGTTCGGTTCCCACTAAGGGCATGTACCTTGGTTGCAGTTTGTCCCCAGCCCTGGTCGGTTGTGCAGATGGCAGCCACTCGATGTGTTCCTTTTACGTCGATGTTTCTCTCTCTCTCTCTCTCTGTTCCTCTCTCTCCCTCCCACTCTACCTGAACAAAAAATGGAAAAATGTCCTCGGGTGAGGATAAAAAATAAAATAAAATAAAAAAACAGAGAAAGCTCCCTAGGAGTTTTTTTATGTTACAAAAAAAGAGAAGTGTCTATATTTTCATATTACATAACTAACAAAACTGGCCCGCTTCCTAGTGCTAATGTGTATTTTCCTCCTGTCCTATAGGTGGTACTGGTGCACCTCTCCTCATCCATTTCCATTCCCAGTGACATGCACCTTACAGGTTTAATTTATCACTTAGTGGTCCCAACTCCAAAACTCAATCCTAATCAAGAATGAAAATTTGAGCCCGGCTGGTGTGACTCAGTGGTTGAGTGTTGACCCATACACCAGGAGTTGTCCAGTTCAATTCCTGGTCAGGGTACATGCCCA